CGTAACCAGGGTACCCACCCCATTCACTAGTGGACTCACCTTCTCCCTGACCTTCATTTTGTTGTTGATATATTTGAAGAAGTTTTTCTTGTTACTCTTAACATCACGTGCCAGATTTAGTTCCAATTGTGCCTTAGCTTTCCTTGTTGCATCCCTGCATTCCCTGACAACGTTCCTGTATTTATCCCAAGGGGCCTGTCCTTTCTTCCACATTCTATATATTGCTTTTTTCTGCTGGAGTTTTGCCAGGAGCTCTCTGCTCGTCCACGCAGGTCTCCTGCCCCCTCTGCCTGACTTCTTACGCACAGGGATGCACTGTTGCTGGGCATGGAGGAAATGCCGCTTGAAAACTAACCAGYTCTCCTGGGCCCCTCTTCCTTCTAGAGCCCTAGCCCATGGGATCTTTCCCAGYAGGTCYCTGAAGAGGCTAAAGTTGGCCCTCCTGAAGTCCAGCGYRGCARGGCTACTTACTGCCCTTCTTCCTCCAGTTATCTGTTACTTTGGAGCACTCCTTGGAATGGAGGACATAATTCCTCTGCTTTCTAGCTGAAGGTGGATATTAAGAGAAAGAACTGGGCCACTTCCATTTGTTCTCAGCTTATCTGTCTTTTATTTTCAAGTCTCCAGATCTACAGTCAGCACAGTCCTCTGTCCTGCTAAATTCTTCTATCTTTTCTATTCATGTAATTACCCTAGAGATATATATATAGAGAAAGAAGTCATTAATGAATACAGTTTATGAAGTATTTTATAGCTCATCTTGTCCTTAGCAAGAAAAGTGCTTCAGGACTTTTTACTCAGAAGTTTCCTCATCTAAATGACCAGGTTTATCGTAGAATTTAATAGCGAAGGATGGCACTGGTTCATTGTATCTCCACCTCAGTTCTTAGGCTTGTTGCACTCCAAAATACACAGACGAAGGGCTTGTGTGGAATGAASCAGGGAAACTTTAACAATGTCTCTTCAAGAAAGTACAATTCTGCCAAAAGTAATGACATAATAAGGACTAAAAGGCACTAACCGTAAAAATTGTCCGGTGAATAAGAGAAGAGTTGACTTCATGCCAGTTTCTATGGTTAGCTTCCCTTTTATCGATATAATAACCAAGGATTGGTGAACCTCCACTAAACCTCGGTGCTTTCCAGCCAAGCGTCATTGAATGACCATCACAGTTAAGAAGGGTGATGCCATGAGGATGTGATGGACAAGCTAGAGGGAAATAAGCACGCTGAGAGTTATTAAGAAGTCTAAAACACTGCAGTTCAGAAGGCTAGGCTTTCTGTTCTGTCTTTGTTTTCTGCAATGCATTACTCTCAGTTACACCTTGGTAACAAAGCAGTTGTAAAGCTGCTAATCAAAATTATTTTTATCTACAAAAAAAAAGGCATGGAGGATTACTTATGACAGATCTGCCTCACGAAACATCTGCCTCAGAGTTGTCCTCTGAGAAAGAGCAGACTAAAAGCTTTAGTAAGGAAATGGCAGTGTCATTTAAAATGTCTCCAGATCAAATATGCTACAAGATTTGAGAAGAATCAGAAGACATTTTCCTGATAAGAGCCAAATAAGCTAATAAAGAAAAAAGCTTATGAGTTCAAATGAAAAGAAGTCATATGACTGTCTCACCAAGGCCTCCATGTTTTGGATGGCCATGGTGAGCCAGTCACCATGTGACTTTCTGTATGTGTCTACGTCTACTTTGGATTTAAGGTGCTATCTGCCTTGTAAGGAAGAGAAAATGGTTGAACTCGAACAAGCCTAAGCAATGTGGAAGCAGGAAAGACATTTCCCTTGTGAATTTTCCTAGAGGTACAAGACCTATGGCAGAAGCTAGAATGTCACTCAGCTTCCTAGAAATTTAATGAACTACTTCCTGAATTATTTTTTGCACATCTCCTATTAGCCTCTTCTAGTCTAGCAAGCACTATTTTTGTTTTCTGTTTTTCCCTTCGCACAAGAAAGTTCAGTTGAAGACACTGCTCCTGGTCCCTGTTGTGCTGCAGTCAATGCAAGCTAGGCTTCTGACCCTACAGCTCATCCAGGCTTTTCAGCTGAATTACCAGTATTTCCTGAGAGAATCTGTTTTATCTCATTTAAAAGAGAATATGTTAGCCAGGATCTTAATGAAATTCCTGAACTTATAGCTGTGCTAGTGATCAGCATGAAAACAGATAGTAATCAGCAGAAATAGGCTTTTTATTCTATTTCTCAAATATTCGGACTGGCTCTGACTTAATAAAATAAGATGAATAAGAAAAAAAAGGCCTTTACAATTACTATCACTTCTTCATGAATAATAATGACCATAGCACACTCCTATACATGTCTTTAACACTGCAAAACATTCTGTCCCTATAAATGTGACTCACTAGCAAATAGTCCTACTAAATTCTTATTAGGGCTATTGAAATAGGTAAAAGTTATTCACATGCCATAAGTGTGTGTAAGATCCACCTGATCTGTGTTTGGTGATACACTCCATGCAGACCTCATTTTCAAAGACACACAGTGACAAAACAAGAAGTGCCACAAAATTTCAAAGTGCATATAGTACACTAGAAAGTGCAACCTAGAGGTGACAGATATCACATTGTTTGTGCACCACCTACCCATATGAGACACACTTCCTCCTAAAACAATCAAAAAGAGTAGGTTTATCAATAATACTTATAAATTTAAGAAAGCATCTTCTAACAGGCAATCTGAATGGCCACTCTTTTACTTCTGTCAAGCATGTGTGCTCCACTCTAAGAGGAAGCCTTTCAGGTGGGTGGCTTTATTTTTGTTTTTATTTTTTTCCATCTTAAGTTAAGTGTTAGTCAAAACCGACCTTCAAAGTACAAGTCTTTTCTGTGACTTTTTATTCAAATTTCAGTTCTCTGAATGCAGTGTGGAAGTGAAAATTGGAAAAGAAAGGGATCTTGATAACCTAGCCCTGTGTATTTTATGGTCTAAATAATTATTTAGCCCTCCACAAGGTATAGTAATTCATAGGGCTGACATACATAGAGGGCTTTTCTTCATTGAAATATTGCCTGCAAGCAATAAGGTACCTTTAGAAGAGYAGCAGAAGAGGTGGATTGCTCCCCAGCTTAGAGCAGCCAAGGGGACTTTTCTGTTTGATCCAGTCACAAAATAATAAAATTTCTTGCAACTCTTCTAAATGAAGCAGATTTCATGCTGAATTGATTTGCACTACTCCAAATCACCCAGAAGCCACTGTCTAACTCAGTCAAGATATGGTTTCTTTGTTGCAGCTGAGGAGCAAAAGACAGCCTGGGTTTATAGTGAATCTGATTCAATAATTCTAAGAGATTATATAAAAAAAAAAAAAACATTTTTTTCCTCATAATTACTTTTCTGCAAAGAACAGCAACATACCACAGAATAAACGTACCAATAGGATGATTGTAAAATGTACTATTATATTGAAGGAAACCAAAGGAGCAAGTTGATGGAGATCTGTGTCTTGTTAAAGAAACACAAGATTGACACGCACAAACATACTTACTGAGGGCTGCCTGTACTATTATGGCCTCAGACTCCTGAGAGTTTTCACTGAATCCTACAGAATTCACAGCTTTTACACGGAAGATATACTGCTCCCCAGTTTCCAAACCATGAACAACAAACCTGAGTTAAAAAAAAAATAGCATTACATATTAATTTATATATTTATAAGAAGCAATCCATGCTCAAAAAGAAATTTGGCTTCAATTTGTTGGCTTCAATAAGCAAGTTCAGCTTTATGAGTGCTTCACACAGGAAAATATTTGCAAGAACTCTAATACCAAAAATATAATACAGTACAATTGATTGGGACACTGGATGGGACACTGGAACACAAGAYGAATTAAGTAGCTAGTGCTAGTCTTCTGTGTAGAGTCATAAACGATGGCATATTCCTTCTGAACTTAGCGTTGCTAAATTCTAATCTATTCTTGACAGGAACTATTTTTCACTATATTCATAGTAACTGCCAAGAAGAGCTCTCAAATTTGAGCTGAAGTTTTAGGCAATTATTGTAACAGACTGAATTGTCAGGACTGCCCTATTGTAGGATGTGTTCACATATGGAAAAATTAAAAATATTGAAAAATCATTTTTAATGATTTTTATGCTGTCCAGTTCCTTTGACCAAGAATTAATCTCTACTCTTTCTTTGATCAGATTCCTTGATTGCTTGATCAAAGGTTTTCAGTGAACACAGTCATTCAAAATTAATAGCTGATAAAATACACTAAACACTATATGCTTGCTATACACCCATAAGAAATTATAAATTTCTTTTATATSTGCTCATTTTCTTCTTATAAGAAAAGATAAGCAATATATACAAACTTTGAATCTGGTGAGTAAAGCAATATTTTCTGGAGTAAGAAATCAACAGAAATACATACAGGGCCACTATCATGACAGGAGAGCTAGAGATAGAATCTCTTCTTTACCCACAGGCTTAGCAGGCTGGGGAGCTCTGATATCTCTCAGGCAACACATTCAGGCTTTATACACAGTAGTCTCACAAGCTACAGTGCTTTCCCCGTCACATTTATATCAGAAACTCATGTGCCCTGATGGCCTGGACTAAGGGCTCCAGGCAGAGACATGATGGAAAGCTTCTGCATCCCCAGATATAATATAACCTCAGATATAATCTAGATGTTAAAAAGGCATTAATTTTATGCTCATTTAGGAACAAGCCATGTAGATTCATGTCTCTGAAGCCTAATTTTATCTTTCAAAAGCAGAGAACAGAAAAAAAAAAAAAAAAAAAAAGACACTTCTCTTTAGAGAAACAATAATGGAAAAAGTCTACCCTGCAACCTGAGAATCTGCAGAATATTTTTCCTGACACAAACATTCATCTTCCAGGATGAAGCTATTGTTTACCAGATAAATGGACTTATAATTGTACTACAGTTTTCAAAACTCCTTGAAATACAGAAGTATTGTCAATACCTGTTGTATTTAATAGGCTTGTGGTTACTAGCTTCCCAGTGATTTGATCCCACCACTGAATAATCAATGTAGTAGCCATACAAAGCCTCTTCATGCTTTGGTTTATCCCACTGAACTACAACTGACGTTTTTGTATTCCTTGTGGCCACTACTCGACCAGGTGTAGATGGTGCAACTACAAAAAAGAAAGAAAATATGCACTATAGTAAAATAAATAAAAATTGTTAGATACAACATTATGTATTTCACTACATTTAATCACTATATCTGACAACTATATTTACAATACTACATTATAATATGCATTTTAGTGTATTTATCTTGCTATAAATAGTCCACTTCTCTGGATACTTATATATGTGCGCATATACTTATTTTTGTACTGTTTTTCTTATAGTAAATTAGCTCTAAGCTACTAGTCTCCCCACTTTCCTGATTTTGTGCTGGTTTCTGAGAAGATAATATTTTCAAGACATATTTTAAAATACCAGTGCTGATAAAATGTATGAGTATGAAAATATTCTCTCTCAAATCAGAATAACAGATTCACGTATGTAACCTGTAGCACTACTGCATCAGTAAGTAATGCACATGAACTATTTAAGTGTAGTTTCACAAGAGTTAAGTTAAGAGTTAAGTTAAGAGTTAAGAGTTAACTCCCTTTCAGTCAGTTAATGACCACTCCAATCCAGGAATGGAAAACTTTTCAGGAAAACTTTAAGCATGTGTTTTAATGCTAAATTCTTAGCTAAACTTAGCTACGCACATTTCACCCTGCATATACATAAATAAAAACATATACCTAAAGATTTAAATGTGAACAAAATGGTAATAAGGGCAACTTCATACAGTATATACACTATAAAATACCTTTTAGAGCTTTGTTTGAGTCTTTCTTGATAAGTTAAGAGTGGTATGTATCAAGGGCATTTTAGTTTCCCCAAATTTATGTATTTCACAGAACTATAGCTGAAGCAAGCATCATGAAAAAGAAAAAAAAAAGGGGGGGGGGCAACATTTTTCTCAGAGACATTCAGTCTTTTGGTCTCAAAAATAACACTTACATGATATTGTAGTTTAGCCAGTAGGTTTGTAATACTGAGTGGATTGAATCTGTGATAAAKGTACCTAAAGGTAGGAACACATTTAATGCCATTTATACACTCTGCGTTGCAGACATTTCTGGGGCTGGCAGATATGACTCAGAACATWCAGGACACTTGCATCCCTCTGACACGACAAACTAAAAGCACCTCCAATGGTATTAGATGTCTGGATGGGTATCCAAACCGAGCCACTAACCAACAGTTAGTTGAGTCCTGAAAATGATTCATTTCACCCCAGTGTAGACATTGCAAGGGTGGTGAGCCAAGTTATCCTTCAGGCTCCACTGACTGCAGTAGGAGCAGAGACCTCTAGAGCACTTGCTAATGCCTGCGTGGAGACACCTATATTTAGATGTCGATCTCAAACCGAATCCCTTCTTATCAGTCAATTAAATTGCCTACACACAGACATTAAGTGCCATTTTGGGTGTGCTAGGATACCCCATCCATTCTCTAGTTGATGCTTGAGAAAGAAAGAAACCCTCCCACAGCTCCCGTGTGGTGTTTGCCAGCCCGATGGTGTTGTCTCAGATACCCGCAGGAATGTCAAGCAGCACTGTGTGCAGGCAATTAAAAGCCATGTGCAAACCTGATGTATTTTAGTGCAGGCAGTTAACTCTCCTACAAAACTACTGCAGTTTCTCTTTAAAATAAGATCTTGTGCTTTCTGTCTTCCACCATTGCTATGATTTACGAAGAATGTCTTGTGCTACCCTCTAAGGGGTAGCCTATTTTCTGTACTAAGTGAAATAAATACTGTCTGTTTCTTTCCTGCCTTGGGGAATGTTGAACAGTTTAAATAATTTATATGTATTAATGAAGTATCAAATCAAGAATACAAAAAAGTACAAGATGTTTTTATCACATCTTGTGTACTTTCAAATCATGCAGGGTTACATTTTAGTTAGTTTAGTTACATTTAGTTAGGTTACATTTTTAAACTTATTGTAAACATGAATTATCAACATTATCAAAATGATCTGCCCGATGGACTAACAGATATTGTAGTCATTTCTCATACTTCTGGCAAGTGTACTAGTAATATGTGAGCTCTAAAGGCGACAGCTGTCAATATGTGGTACTGTTTATCTGTGGCTTCTGCTTAACTGCAAGATAAAATCATATATTTGAGCAATAAGAGGAGCAATTGTTCCCTAAATTACTACTTGTGTGTTCAAATGTGACCTCAAGATAAACCCTTCACTTTCGTTTGGAAAGTTGCCACTGAATATGTAGACATCACTTCCCTTATCACTGAAATATAGTCATCTACATGCCACAGAAATTCTGCGCCATCAGTAGCTCACAACTTGGGTTACTCAGAAAGGAAAGGCTCCTTATCTAATTGAAACTACAAGGAATTAGGTAACATACATATACTGAGCCAGACAATATAATTATCTGAGTTAGCGATTAACCAGTATTATCCTACTTTTTTTGACAAGTCACATTCATAGAGGACTTAGAAGGATGACAAACTAAAATAACTGAATCAAATGAATTTGATTAAAATTACTGTCATAATACAGTTATGATAATACTTGTTTGTTTATTTCTTAAATATCAGTTGCATTTAATATTGATGCTATACTATTAATGTCTTACCAACAGTATCTTGTGGTTGAATGGGTTCTGTGATTTCAGATGGATCGCTGAGTCCATGCTTGTTTGCTGACAAGACTCGGAAAACATACGGCTTTCCTTCTGCGAGGTCAAACACAGCATAGCGAGGAGATTTTACAGCAACCTGTGCATTGACTCTTTGCCAGCTTCCACTGCCAACCATAGACTACAGGAAAAAAAAAAAAAAAAAAAGAAAAGAAAGAAAAAGAGAGAGGACAAAAGAATGAAAGAAAAATAAATATGGATCATTTTGCCTTTTTGGAACTGTCAAAAAAAATTCAAACATATTGCATCCTGATATTGTGAACATATTGCATCCTGTCTTGAATTCATTTAAGAAATAAAAGAGAAGGATCAATTGCAAATGCCTTGCTTTAACATATGGAAATCTGCATTACTTGTGCATTCAACTTCAGAAAAGGTCTCAGTACATCAATATCTCCCTGTCTGTCTAAACCCCACTATCTGCCCTCTAGTCCATACAGCTACCCTCCTGTCACCTCTGATTGCTCCCAAGAGAAGTACTCTCATGTCCTGCAAAAATGACTTGAATACCCAAAGGTTATCTCTAAAGCAAGCAAGGCCTAATCCAAATTCTGTGGGAAGATGGTGAGATGGAAATTTCTTTACTCACTACCGAGTTAGCAAGAGATGTCAGGGACAAAAGGAAGGGCTTCTATAAATATATCAGCAGCAAGAGGAAGACTAGAGAAAATGTTARTCCACTGCTGAATGGGGAGGGTGCCTTGGTGAAAGTGGATGCAGAGAAGTCAGAGTTACTAAATGCTATCTTTACTTTTTACTGCTGGTCCCCCGGAACTACAGAGACCAGAAAAAAAAAAGAGAGATGACCAGGAGAGAAGAAGATTTTCTGCTGGTTGAGGAGAATTGAGTTAGGGATTATTAAGCAAACTGCACACTCATAAATCTATGGGCCCGGATGGGAGGCACCCAGGAGTCCTGAGGGAACTAGGAAGGGTTATTATTGTACAACTGTTCTCCATCATCTTCGAGAGGTCATGGAGAGCCAGGGAGGTGCCAGAAGACTGAAAGAAACCAGTCACTCCAGTCTTCAAAAACGGAAAGAGGGAGGAACCAGAAAACTACAAGCTGGTCTGCCTCACCTCCTGGTACCYAGAAAGGTGACAGAGCAGATCATCCTACAGAGCATCTTTAGGCATGTTAAGGAAAAAAGGGTGATCAGGAGTAGTCAGGATGGATTCACAGAATCATTAGGATTGGCAGGGACCTCTAGAGATCATCTAGTCCAACCCCCTGCTCCAGCAGAGACACCTAGGGCATGTGGCACAGGGTGGCATCCAGGCAGGTTTTGAAGACCTCCAGAGARGGAGACTCCACAACCTCCCTGGGCAGCCTGTTCCAGGGCTCTGTCACCCTCACAGTCAAGAAGTTCTYCCTCACATGTAGATGGAACTTTCTATGTTTCAACTTGTGTCCATTCACCAAGGGGAAGTCATGTTTGATGAACCTGATAAACTTCTGTGATGAAATGACTGGATGRATGGATGATGGGAGAGATGTGGATGTTGTCTACCTTGATCTCAGCAAGGCTTTCAACACCGTTTCCCATGATATCCTCAAAGGAAAGCTCTAGAAGTTTGGTTTGGATGMCTGGACATCGAAGTGGGTTGAGAACTGGCTGGATGGCAGAGCTCAGAGGGTGGTGATAAATGGGGCCAAGTCCAGTTGGTGGCCTGTGGCCAGTGGTGTCCCCCAGGGRTCAGTACTGGGCCCGGTGCTGTTCAATTTGTTCATCAATGACCTGGACGAGGGCACAGAGTGCACCCTGAGCAAGTTTGTAGATGACACCAAGCTGGGTGGAGTGGCCGACACTCCAGAGGGCTGTGCTGCCATCCAGAGGGACCTGGRCAGGCTGGAGAGTTGGGCAGAGAGAAACCTCATGAGGTTCAATAAGGACAAGTGYAGGGTCCTGCACCTGGGGAGGAATAACCCCAGGCACCAGTACAGATTAGGGGTAGACCTGCTGAAAAGCAGCTCCACAGAGAGGGATCTGGGAGTCCTRATTGACACCAAGTTAACCATGAGTCAGCAGTGTGCCCTCGTGGCCAAGAAGGCCAATGGGATCCTGGCTGCATCAGGAGGAGTGTTGCCAGCAGGTCAAGGGAGGTGATTCTGYSCCTCTMCTCAGCTCTGGTGAGGCCACACCTGGAGTATTGGGTGCAGTTCTGGGCTCCCCAGKAYRASAGGGAYRTGGAGCTKCTMGAGAGGGTCCAGTGGAGAGCGACAAAGATGATTAAGGGACTGGAGGATCTCTCATATAAGGAAAGCAATTTGGTCCTGTTTAGCCTAGAGAAGGCTGAGAGGGGATCTGATTAATACGTACCTGAAGGACAAATGTAGGGAGGAAGGGGCCAAACTCTTCTCGGTGGTGGTCAGTGACAGGACGAGAGGCAATGAGTATAAGTTGAAACACAGGAAGTTCCATCTCCAGGTGAGGAAGAACTTTCCTGCRAGGGTGACAGGGCCCTGGAACAGGCTGCCCAGGGAGGTTGTGGAGTCTCCCTCTCTGGAGGTCTTCAAAACTCGCCTGGATGCCACCCTGTGCCACATGCTCTAGGTGTGCCTGCTTGAGTAGGGAGGCTGGGCTAGATGATCTCTAGAGGTCCGTTCTAACCTTGACCATTCTGTAATTTTGTGATATGTTTATGCACTCAGCTGACTAATGTCATGTCCAGAAGAGTATTCATCAAGTGAAATAATTACTTCAGAATATTTCCAACATATTAGCTGAGCTAATTATTACCATGCATCCATATGGAGAAGTGCCAGCAAACCAGCATTCTCAGAGACATCTGCTGTCCACTAGCTTCCCCAAACAAGCTCTTTACCCGAAAGAAAAACAAAGTCTATATCAATGATTTTAGTAAAAGTATAGTGTCCAGTAAGCAGCCTAAATAAAATTGCCTTTAGGCACAATAAGGTACATTAAAGTTATTTTTTTCATATAATTATGGGACAGTCTGTGAACAAAACCTGTTAGACTGAAAACTCATTAAGGGCAGAATAGGCTTCATGGGTGCTTAGAAACCATTCTGTATGCTACTACAGATAAATAATATAAAGGTAAACAGTAAAGCCCCTCCCCCCCAAAAAAGCCATAATTTTCTTCATTAAAAAAAAAGAGATGAAAAATATGAAGAGATCATTTTGCCATACATCTTACATTCTGGCTTGAAAAACAGTAATTGTTGTGTAGAGGCAAGCATCAACATAATGCTTTATTCTGTATTTTGATTTAATTTATTCTGTCGCTAAGGGAGAATTATTTTACAGAATGGAGAACTCACTTCCTTTTTGTGCTTCTTGAAGTCTTTCAAATTCTATTTTTTTCTTAAGGACTGAGACTTCTTTATTTAAAATAAATTAATTTATTATGCATTCCTAACTTAGCAGATGTCTGTGCAAAGCAAAGAACAAATATTCATCCATGAACTGAATAGGCTATACATATACATAACAGCTAGTTATATGACAAAGGATTTTAGAGTCAGATTTTAATTAGTATCATGAAACTTTTTTTTCTAATAGCCTTTTAATTCTCAGTCTTAGTCTCCCTCAGTAAGTTTGGGATTTAATTAAGACTCACTTGTTTCTCATTCCCACTGCTCTGTGCTGTTTGTGCTGCTATATAAAGTTATTTCTGTAAAACATGTGAATATACACAACTCTGATGCATATTTAGAATGAAATTGAACTAACCAAGTGTAGGCATCCACTCAATAGAAATCTGCATCTGAGCTTCTCTTCTAGGCTATTTCTGTAGGCTTTTGAAGCAATTAAGTACTTTTGGACACATCCTGTCCTATAGTGGTCATCTAATATACGATTTTTCAATCATGATAAAAAGTTCCTATTTCTCCTTTTGCACTACAGGAATGTCTAGGCAACTAGCTCAGATGTAGACCTATAAATTTTAGACAACTAAAATGAAGATAAATCCCACACTTAGCAATAAGGTGTGATCCAAAATATGTTCCTGATTAGGACTATTTTTTACTTGGCTATTTTTTACTTACATTCGTCTTATTCTAGAAAGCCGAACCAGCAACCAAAATCTCTCTGTTCATTGATAGATAAACATAGGATAAAGAATTGGTTCAAAATCTTTAACTAATCATCCTTGCAATCCATAGACGTGACAGCATGCATGTATATGACAGAGAATAAGGATCAAAGGAAAAGATCAATAACAAAACAATGTGTGGTATAAAAAAGTAGACATCTATTTCTACAGAGATTTTCATTACTATTCTTAAATGGAAGAGGCATAGTGGGAGAAATTATGGACATGTTTGCTGAAAAAGGGAAAGTGGGGGCTGCAAGTAGAGAGTGATATGAATTATTCGCTAGGAAATGAACTTGGGAGGAATGGGCTGGACATGTGAGAAGAGAAACATTGCAAGGTAAGAACTCAACGAAATTTTCTTGCAATATTCTAGATGCAAACTGGGTGTTGGACAGTTTTATGGATGGTCCTGGTGTTTGTGGATTATTGTGATGGGGTATGCTACAGATGTAATGCTTTATTATTGAGAAAGACTAAGTACAGCTTGGCAYGCAAGAGTTTTAGAGGTCAGGGAAGAGGTCCAATTTAACTACTGAAAGGATGGGGAGACTTTGCAGGAAAGGGAAAAGATTAAGACCTCTGGCTGGTATCAACACATTGAATACAGACACCTGACTCAGGGATAGATATATCTAAGTCTTAGCAGCCTAGGTTGGGGAAGAACAAATCTAAGCTCCCTGTCAAGTTAAGGGGAGGAGAAATGCAGTCATGAAGACTGAGGAGCAGTGAATCTATCTCCCTCTTTATTGACTTAATAGAGAATAAGATGAAAATGCCAGGCAGTAGCAGAGGGTGCAGTATGCCTGCCAAAAGCAAGGTGGGGATCACATGATGGGTCACTATTTAGGTCCTTCTCTGCTGCAGGGCCCCTATATACTTTGCTTTCACAGAATCAGAATCACAGAATCATTAAGGTTGGAAGGGGCCCATAGAGGTAATCTAGTCCAGCTCCCCTGCTCTATCAGGAACATCTAAAGCACATGGCTTTAATAAGGACAGATTGCAAACTTCCAGCCCTAACCATAGAGGGGAGAGATTTCTTTTCTAGTGAAAGTTTTGCTTTCACTTAGACAACAACAAGCAAATAGCACAGGGTATCCATTTCAATGGACCTTGAATTTCAATACTCATTAAAGCATGCAATACATTTGACTGTCCGTGCCTTCTCCAAAATCCCATCGGCAAGTCCTGCAAGCCTCAGAGGGTGTTAGTTTTATTTTTCACCCCTTAGTTCTGAAAATGAGTTGAATAAAATTGCATGTGGTAATGAAATGCCTTGCAGTTCAGTGTCACTACACAGTACCTTCTCAATGAAATACGTCAGTGGCTCCCTGCCACGAGGAACAGGTGGATCCCAGCTGAGTACAACATATGTTTTGCTGATTTCCGAGGCATGTACATTGGTGGGAGGGCCTGGAATCTGAATATCGCCTGGAAGAGTAATAAACATAGTGAATGTTAAACAGCAGATTAACCCCCAGGTCAGCATTTGTGCTGCAGCTCATCTTTCTAAACTCCCACACTGAACCATGTTTCTTGGCTATTAAGGGCTACAGTATCAGCTGTGCAGTTCATTTCTCRCTTTAGTTCCATTTTGAGAAATGAAATATCCATGTTAAAAGTTAGTTATTTACTTTTTCAAAGTTAAATATTCCCTTGAAAAGCTGTGCATTTGTCACACATGCATTTTCTTTGATCACATTTGAATTACTTTAATCTACTGTGGAAAATGCTTTGGAAAAACCTACTCACTCTATGCAAATAAGAGCTATTTTTTGATCAAAGACAGAAGTCCAGAGAGTTATTATGAGAAATTACTCTAGAAGAAGATAACTGGAAGGGAGATACACACTCAAGGAGAAAAGCAGCTTACAATTAAGTGGAAAGCAGAAAAAGTAACAGAGAATATTAACAGTATCTGTAGTTATGTGATGGTATTACTAGCTGGACAATCTAGAGCACCTCTAAGGCCTCTGGATCAGCGATGTGCTAATATGTCGCCAGCCCTTTGGTGACCRTCTCAGCTGAGGAGTCCGACTGATCACCCACTGCCAACACTCACCACTGCATTACCAGAACTGGGGTACTTGGACCAGCATTTTCCCATCACTGCACTGAAAAGGAGCTTGTTTCCCTCCCTCCAAGCATTACAGTAGTGTAAAATAACCAGAGACAAGAGGAAACTTCACCCGTTTGAAGGACAGACATATCTACATAGATCTGAAGAAGACATAGCTATTCCGCAGATATTTATATTCTAAATATTCTAATTTTGTGGTTTGCAATAGAGGAGGGTCAAGTTTAGTTCTTCAAATAAGTTTTGCCAATTGTGATGCAAACAAAGAGCATATAACCTCTAAATGCTCAAATTTTGACATTAAAAAAAGGAAAAATGTTTCAGTAATAATCTCTAAATCATGGAAGTGAAGTTTGCTAGTCGATAAACAAGCCAGGSTCATAACTTAACTAAGGTAATTTCTTTGTACAATTTTCCCAAATTAAAACCATGCTTTTTAAAGTAAACTTGGACTTATCCAATCAAAATGTATTTTCTCTCAATATGTTTTGATCTTTGGTTTCCTACAATTTTGTTGTTGTTGTTGTTGAGCAAGGCACATATATTGACTTATTGACTGAATTTAAGAAATGCCAATGTATAGTCAAGAAAATATTTGTGAGCTTTAAAAACAATATTTTTCAGTGTGGTGCTTACAATCAAAAAACTTTTGACTGGTTTCACAAATACTAATTTGTCTGTTTAGCCACTCTGGTCATTCTTAGGCAATCSTGAGAGCAGGATTAAATCCTTTCAATCCAGATAGTTAAGACAAGGATGTATGTGATCTTCTTGAGTATATGAGAATAGCCATAACAATTCATTTAGGATGTCACTGTCAAACTACAGAAAATTCATTGGTGAGGGAAGAATCATTTAATGTTTTTGAATCTAATTTCTTATACCTATTCTCACATGAATTTCCCTTTTTTAGGTTATTAATGGAGTTATGGCTATATAAGCTTTGTGGAAGACAAGAGACAGAATTATCCATATTAGTGGGTTATTATTGTTCACAGTTTTGACAGTTTACATGAAAAGATCATTATTCAGACTAGAAAAAAAAAAAAGAAACAATCAAAGATAAAAGAAATTCAAGCTTTATCCCAAGAGCTGGCAGTAATTACCTGAATTCTCATAAGAAAAAACAATTGCTAGTCTATTACACTTCCTCAATAAAAGTCTCTTTTTTAGAAAGATATATTAATTAAAGTATAACTTATATTCTATATTTTTAAACAAAAAAAWTGAAAGATCTTGCTGAAATCATGAAATTCTCTTTAAAAAGATATTTTTTTTCTCTCAAAAGGGGAGGAGGGAGGGAAATGTGTCTGATCAAATACAATGCTCTACTGCTTTAACACAGCTTATCACTAGTCAAACACTGAGATGTCAGCACACAATAGAAGCTGTGCAGTCAAGAGCAAAGYGCTGTCTGTCCTTCTTGAGCTTTGCCTTTGTCTTCTGTTCTTTCAGGTTTGCAAGCCAGAATATCTGTATTTTTATGAAGAGTTTACTCACAAAGTCTATTTCCTTTATTTGCCACATTTTTAACTACAGTATTATATCATGTTATAACGCTTCATCCTAAGATGAAGATCTGAAGATTTGGAATGAAATCATGGAAAAGTGGCATACCTTCGAGGTCGTCCTTTCGGATTATAACCTTTCGCCCTTCATCCACGTGAACAGCTGTTATGCAAAATATTTGGTTAGTTTCTTGAGCCAATTTGATAAAKTTATAAGTTCTGCAAATTACTAGTTACCAGCACTTAAAGAGACTTTTTGTGTCTTTATATACTTGTTGTTTGTGTAACTATGTTGTTAAATCTTTCCAAAGATGGAATCAAGGTTTTACATTGCTTCATTCACTTTCATGAGAAAACTTAGCATGACAGAACTATTTAAAGATGAACTAAAAAACAATAATGTTGGACTCAATTTTCAGGCAAATTGGAGGACAAGTATATTATGATTTGACTCTTTTTCATAAAAGTTAGCAATAAATTTGATGGAAACTTAACATATTCACCTCAGGTTTTACAAGCAACCTTGGAACCTGCAGTCTTCATAGTGAGTTCAAATATTCTCTGCAGAAAAGAAGCTTTCAAAACAATGGACATGAAAATATRTGATATATGTAGCCTTTGTGATGGGTTTTTGGACAGGGCTAAACCAACAAGATTACTTCCCAGAGCAAGTCAGCMTGCTTCACTCATGGACAAGTTCTCATGAGGTTCCTTTGTAGAATGCAGTAGCCTTGAGTACAAAATGCGTTTTCAGAMGAAACTTGTTAGATTAATTGTTTCTCTCTACTAGGAAAGTCACAGTATCAGAGACCTCCAACCTATGGCCAGGGAGTTTTGTGCCAGTGCTGGTATTTCCCTTAGCAAAAGAATGAGTGGGTAAATATAAGTATCCCTAGGGTAGTTAATTCACATGACAAATGATTCTCTTTGAACTAAAGTAGACGTATCTTATAACTTTTTCAAAAGTGATTGCCAGACTATGCGAAAGTTAGTGGGATTTGAGTGCCAATCTCCCAGTAGAAATTATATAAGCTTCTAGGACATACTTCCTCTTTAGAAAATATAGGTGACAGTAAGATTTTATGTTTAAAAGACAAGCAAAACTAGCAATAATTGAGATAGTACTCCCAAGTCCTGACAAATTGTCTGTGTGGATATTGCTATGGCAGTTGTACCCTCCACCTTGGAATTAGTGAGATACCCATTCATTCAAAGGAARAAGCAAATCTTGAATATAAGATCAAATATTGAGCACCATGTCTGCCTTTCACAACCTACTTTGTGTTCTCTCCAGGTCAACAGGGTCAAGAGCTGCCACCGGTTCAGAGACACGAGAAGGCCTACTAATACCCGCATTGTTCACAGCTCTCACACGGAATATGTAAGACCGCCCTTCATAGAGACCAGTCACGGGATACTTGCAGATCCTCACAGGAGCATCGTTGCACTGGATCCAGTTTTCCAAACCAACTTCACACCTTGGAGTAGCAGAAGACAGCATTTTCCAGTGTTCATTTATCAAAGTAATCCCACAATAAACATACACCATAGTTATACACACCAAGTTAGAGTCCCAAATCCTATCCCCACTAAACTGAAGAACTAATCCATACAATTTACTAATGAAAGTAGTATTCTATAGACATCCTTTTCTTTCTACTAATCTAGTCTCACTGTGYTTGTAATTATTCATAATGAAGTTGCAAATGGAAATTTTCTTGCACATCTTTTGGCTAGGCAACTCCCTTTATTACCCTTCCACCAAGTTCTCTTCCTTATCATATCAAGCATAAGCACCTTTATTTTAAACACCTATATTTTGCTGAAATTGCAACTTTCACCTGATCTTTTCCATCCTTTTGTTATTATACTTTTAAGTAAGCACTTTTGCTTGCATCTTCTCTTCAACAACATCTGGGCCACAGAGTGCAAGTGTCACCATGAAGCAATAACGTCCTCATACATATCTCCTTTGTCTTACACTACTGTAAGTTTTTTTGTGGTGGAGAATGTCTTTTGCTCTGACATCATCCAGCAAACTAGGATCATAATCAAGGACTCCTAAGCACTGCAGTAATCCAAACAAAATGTYAAAAGGCACAGATGTAGATTATGCRCATAACATGTGAAATGTTCCCATGATCTACACATTGTACCAATTGGGTATAAGTGGTAGAGTCTCCATAGTCYAGACTAATTTCCCATTACTGATAGCCATGCATAAGCCAACATTTTCTAGCAATTTGCAGACAGTTGTCTCTAAATTAGAACAGATAATAAGGTATTGGATAGCACTGAGCCACAAATGTGGCTTTTAATGGTAGWGCATTACACATTACTAAAGTACTTMAGTAACCTTACTGCTGACTCATTTTCAAACATTAAAGATTAGATGTTCAGCTACAGAGGAAAAGCATGTGCTTTAGAGGAATAGATGCAGAATAAACATGGAATGCCCTGATCCTGGGATGTCTGCACTGAGCTGAACCCACAGCAATGTACAAATCAGGCTGAAGTAGTAAGAAATGCCTTTTAATTTAAACCACCAGTTCCTGGGAATCCATGCTTTGAACTCATGTAATAGTGATGTTAAGAGAGAAATAAATAGATCATGTAACAGTTTCTATGCTTCAGTTTCTGCAATGTACAGTTTAAAGAGACTTAAAGGTGATTAATGGATTCTGGCTTCTACAAGTCTAATAGTGCCAGGGCTTGCTCATTCTCTCATTTTACTAAAYGAATGCTATTGAACTTTTTTTGTCCTCTATTTACTGGGAATGTAAAATATCATTACCCTTGTAAACTTCCAGGCTGTGCCCATTTCCTATGAAAATGCTATATTATCTGGGCTAAAACTGTTCCAAGGAGCATTCTAGTAATGTAACAAAGCATACAGTTGAGGTCCAGTGCCTGGGGTCTGTAGAGATATAACACAAGTATCAAAGAATAAAAATGCTAATTTTTTTCCGTTAGATAGGTGCTTCTAGTAATACACAAAAATAAAAATATTCCAATAGTTACATACTTGTCAACAAAATAGCCAATGACTGGGCTCTGACTGGTCGTGTTTGGTGGTTTCCAAGTAACAATAACATAGTCTCTGTTAGCATCGTGGCATTTAACATCCATTGGGGCCCCCGGTGCTCCTGCGACCAATGCATCAGCATCTGCATCACAAATAAAAATAAATGAGTTTTGATTCCGGTTCTTCTGAAATATACAACAAAGACAAAATGGAAAATTTTCATGCTATTCTTTATGCTATTCTTTAGAGGCAGAGCCCAGAGATTTCCATGAAGACTAATTCACTGCTCTAATGAACAAACCAATAACATCTATCYGTAGGCAGGTCAGGATGTTTAGGGATATTTTTGAAGGCATCAAAGACCTGACTAGCCCACACGTTTATGTTTTGATAATCTTTCCCACTAAAAGCTGTATATCAGTAGGTTATTGATGATCCCAAAATATTCAACAAAGAAGGAAAGGAAAATGAATCCCTTAAGAAGTCTGCAAACTTTTGATTCATTTTTTGAGGYTTCTTATAATATGAATATGCCTAACTAATGAATATTCTTTCATTAAGCTGTGTATAGCTTCATCTGAGAGAAGYTGACTGGTGTGAACCAAAAATTCCTAGTCAAGGAGTTCACTGCCTCCAGGGAAAAGCTTTATAGCATGTAAACAATCTWAATCTTCAGAGTCCAAATATCTCACTTTCTAGGTATCCCTTACCAAAATAATCACACAAAAGTTTCAAGTTTGACTTGAACCAAAATCTTCTCAAAATTGTCATGAAATACCGGCAAGAACCAYTGTGGTTCTAGAACCTACTGCCAAGAGACAGGTGTGCTTTGCTGTGCTTTACATGTGTTTCTTGCACTGAATCTGAGGTGTCTCAGAGGAGGAACCCCAGTGGACTGAGAACATTTGCCATATTGCAGAGGGAGAGACTGTTAGGAGTTGTTAGGAGACTTGTACCCAGGAACAGGCCTTGCAAGTCTTTGTAAGGTTTCTTCTCATCTATGGGCACACAYGAAGATGATGCTATAACATCAGATTTCAACCCACGTGAAAGATGTCCAGCATGGACACTACAGATCAGGGAGGACATAGCTTAAGGCCAAGGTCTTGCATGTACAAAGGGATAAAAGAGAGTAAAAATAGACCACAATTGTCTGGGAAAAAAAATCTGAAAGGGACATTCCAGTAAAGTTTTAAGAAGAATAAGATAGATCTGCTTAGGTTTTCAGCTAGCGTAGTTCCAATGGCTTCAGTTAAGTTATTCCAGTTTGCTACTACTAAGGATCCTGCCCAAAGTATTTAAGAAAGTGATAGAACTGTTCAGGGAGATCTATTTTCATCTTTCAATAAAAATAAAAAAGGGAAACTTAGTTCTGCCTAGAGGTGCAYACAGGATCTCATTTTCACTTCCTTGAGATTGCTACATGCAAATGCGAGGGCAGACCCTGACCTCTATACTCATATATTTATCTTCTTTTTAACCATATCTCTTGTGAACTCTGTATTTATTTGATGAGTAAATTTCTTGCTTCCCTTCCTTCCTCTGATTATTGAATGGGTTTTGTATTGTTAGGAATATTTCTCTTGCTTTTCTTCTTCCTCCTCCTAAGTCCAGGAATAGGACATGGAAATGTCCAGAAAGGCCGATTCCCTCTAGAAATCTCTAGAGCAGAAATCATTGCAGTAAGGAGAAGAAGTATTCAAGGACGTTTAGACTTTATCAGATAAAGAAGACAGTGGAGGAGGAAACAAAATATTTCTTCATAAGATTGATTTATCTGGTTCTTCAGGAATGAAAATAGCTTCAGAAGCTAACTCCTCTTGAAGCTCCCCACTCATATAATGTCACTGTTGTTTCTAGCACAGACTGCTATACAAAATAAAACAACTATAAAATGCTAAAGTTAAGGATTTCTCTTATACTTCCTTCATTACACAAGATTAATAAAGCTACTTTTCTTGTTGCTTTTTCTGATTTATCCTCAAGGAGCAAATTAAAATCTTACCTCTTACAAACAGGTATGCACTGTATTCATTCACCCCACCTCTTGTAACCATACGCAGGGTATATAGACCTTCGTCATCCTTGTTCAGATGGGTAAAAGACAGAGCTGCTTGGCCTTCTCCAAAGTACATCTTTGTCCATTCGGAGTCCTTTATTAGCACATCTGGAAGAGAAAAAACATCAGGCATTGAATCCCTCACTGACCAGAACAATCAGCTTCCCAGTGCCTGTCAGGGGAACAGTTGAACCCTTATGCCAACTACAATCAGAGTCATGGTGCTTTGAGGTGATCAAAACTCTACAGAGASTAAACTTGATCCCTCCAAACTTATTTCATCAGTAAATTTAAGAGAATATGAGGTGCCAACAACAGAAACAGGACTGAATTCCCTTCACTATCATTTCTAATACACTCCCAGGGAAAAATATTAATCCACATTTTAAAACAATCATGCAAAAACCTGTCATGCACTGTAATGGATGTAGGATGGAACTTTGATTCATTTTTAATAAGTTTTGCTATCTGTTTAGGTCAAATGTCAGATTACTCAATTTCTTCCTTCAAGTTTAAAGACCAGATTTTTAAAGACTGCTATAAATATGCACTAAATTTAATTCTCCAAGGCAYGCCTGTTGAGCAGTGAATGAAATTAAATTTGAATTTCTCACAGGTGAGAGGTGGTGACCCATGATTAATGTAAATTAATCTGATTGCCTAGTGAAACTGGAGCAAAAATATGAGCAGAATATTTTATGCTAGTCAAGAGAGTTCCTATCACCTTCTTTCAATAATTGATCGGATTATTTTTGAATTTAACTCCGTAAGTCCCATACTAATTTATTCTAATCAATGCAGCAGAATTGTATTAAAAAATAGTAACTTACTGCTCTACGTTTTAGTAGGCTGTGTCTTATTGACACTTTATCATCTGAACAAAAGCCACTTTTAACAGTTCCTTATACAATATAGTAGACAACTAGGAGAACTTCTGTGAGTGCCTGCGCTGCTCTGTCACTTCTTTGAGTACCTACTATTGAGATCTGTTGAAATCCATCCAAATTCACTACTCCATTTTTTTTCCTCATAGGAGTTTCAGTTGTCTTATGCTAGATTCCAGTATTTGTGCATACACCTTTATAATATTTATATTACATTGGAAATCAACAGAAAGCTTCTGGTGCAGGTTGAACTCATATCCAGGTTAGACATGTATTCTTGAAGTATCATTTAAATATAGCTCTTTCAGTATCTTGAACTGTTCTAAGTGGGCCAAGATATGTGGATATAATACTCATGCTTGTTAGATTTCAACATTTTCAGAGTATTTCCAAAGTATTTTTCTCRGYAGTGGACAGTGACAGGACAAGGGACAAGGAGTACAAGTTGAAACACAGGAAGTTCTATCTGCATCCAAGGAAGAACTTCTTGACTGTGAGGATGACAGAACCCTGGAACAGGCTGCCCAGGGAGGCTGTGGAGTCTCCTTCCCTGGAGGTCTTCAAAACTTGCCTCTATGTGACCCTGTGCTACATGCTCTAGGTGTCCCTGCTTGAGCATGGTTGTTGGACTAGATGATTTCTAGAGGTCCCTTCCTACCTCAGCCATTCTGTGATTTTGCAATTCTGTGATGCTGTATTTGATTCAGATTCAGATAACTTGTGCATCCACAGGAGGCTAGTAGACCAGCACTAGTGTGAAGCATACTAATTCTGGATAAACACATACTTCTCTTGTGTATAATTAACAGAAATAAATCATACTGATCCATCTGTGGGTTTTGCTTGTACTTATTTGATTCATACAGACATAAAAATCTTAGGAAAAACAAAAAAAAAAGTCTTTATACAAAAGTAGAATTAAATATTACTTCAATAACAGCACTTTTAAAGCTCATACTGTTGAATAAACTATTAACCTTCATATCATTTACACTTATGCAATGCCTCCAGCACTCAGAGACTCAGCATAGGAAATTCAAGTGCATAGCAAAGGTTCATACTGCATGAATTCCTGCTATGTTTGCAAAGAAGTTCTGCCTGTTGATGCACATGCACACTATGATCCATGTATGTGMAGCAATGGATGATTTTAAGCTTGTTCATGTCGTTCTGTTTCCCATAATGGGACAAAAGCCTTTCCAATTTGTATCACTAGCAAAAATCTATCATCTGACTTCGAAGAGAATATATTTTCATCTCCAGTTATCACAGAGAAGATAGTGTTATGTTGAATAAGAACAAACATAATGTAATATTACATATGAAGAAGAAATTTCATATCATAACTGAAAGAGCCAAAAGCTCATTTTCTACAGCTAACTAGAATAATTCTTACAATGAACAGATAACTGGAACAATTCTCACAATTCTTAGATGAAAATTGGAATAGCATGGGGCATCTCTAGAAAATTAATGATTCCTTACAGCCACAGTCAAAAAAAAAAAAAAAAAAAAAAAAAGGTTTGTTCTCACATTCAAAAAGTTGAGAGATGTGGTGCTTTTAAGATGGGCCCAGTAAGAGACAGAGTAAAGGTACCACTGAAACAGGAAGGTCACCTCAGTATCAACTATTTAGCTCAGTTTACTGAACTAAGTACTTAGTTTTATGTTTCAAGACCTTTTTCTACGTGATAAACAAATATTATTCCTGCAGAGTCATCYACCACACTGTGGAATATGCTTGAATGAATGCTTGAATGAAGTACTTTGGTACTTCTAGCTAAAACTGTTCTATTTGGCATGGCATTATTTCTCAATAACAAAGCATGGAAAGAAAGCAATGCACCAACATGGCACTTGCACAGCCGTGAAAAATCTTGTGTTCCAGGTCTTGCTCCAATAAATATTTCTGTACTTTAAATGCAACACATTTTAATATAAAATTTGCAGTAAATACTGGAAGTAGATACGGAAATAGAGGCTCATATCTCATTAATTTACTGCTTAGTGAATACCCTACAGCTCAGTGGTCACAGCATTCACTTACGAAGAATATTCAAATCTGGGAAGTGAGTTTGCATCTCCACCTAGTGAGTAAGTTTTATAATCATTGCRTTATTAGAAAGCACAGAATCACTTCCTCCTTTCTGACTGTATACTCAAAAAAGAGTTGACCAAGTCCCATAATTTAAAGAGAGTTCAACTGGAGTTCGTTATTCATTGCATTTAGTTTTGAAAGCCTTATATTCTAAGCCAAACTTCTCTCCTCGATGTTTCCTTCTTGATTTTCCAGTAAGCTTCCATTTACTGTATTAACTACTCAGCTTTTAGCTTTTCCCTTGTATTAAATAGAATATCCAGAAATCTAACATGGATCAGTGATTACACATGGCAGCTAAACATCTAAAACACAGAAGCAGCAACATTTACTGCTTCTTGTGCTTCTTGTTATTGATTCTCCCAATCCTTTAAAGAGAAAACTTTACTTAGCCCTTATGGCATGTTTAGTTGTAAGAGCTTCTCCTATTGCAAGTGAGGAATAAAAGTTAAATGAAAAACAATGCAGGTAAATATCATAGCCAATGTCCCCAACTCGGGTTCAGAGACACGCAGTGGGAAGAGTGGCTGGAGGTGCAAATCTTCAGGAGCACAATGATGTTTTTGGTATGAAGACCTGTGTCTCAGATCTTCACAGATCTTAGATGCTTCAATACAGTAATGCTTCTATTGCCCCAAAACATGTGAGGTTTGTTCTGCTCACAAATAGCAACAAAGATGCTCAAAACGAGCATAGACTAAGCCATCTCTTTTGACTCTACATCTTCTGAATTGTCTCCTTTTCCTCTATTTCCTGTAGCTATTATGTCATATACTTCCTCCACTTCCATAAATGTGGCAATTAGGATAATTCTCCCTGACAGTAGAGGATATTATTCAGCCAAGGTAATTGTAACACGTGAATACAAATTTCCACAAAATTTTCAAGGAAGATAATATGTATCTAAAAAAAATATGAAAATCATATATATGGAGGCAGGTACAGTACCTCAGAAGAAAAAGAAATTATTAAAAAAAACTTACCATCTCGATACCACTCAGCACGAGGTCTTAGTCTTTTCAGTTCTGGGGTAATCAGCATGGAGCATTTAAGGGTTAGTGTTTCACCTTCAGTTGCAAAGGTGACTCCAAATTTCTCCAGAAACTGGACATCAATATGGGTGAAGCAAACATCRTATGAGAGGGGCACTACAAAAAGAATATCAAAACACTCCTGAGTGTAAGTAAAATACACTTGGAATCAACAGATTATTGTCTAATTTGAACAGGAGATGGAGCTCTCATACATTATGCTGATTTAGAAATGCAGCTTGGAAATTAAAAGCATCTGGAAAATCGTTATTGTGACTGAATATTTAGAAAACAAAGCCAGAAGAAACAAGCTATATCCAATTTTCTAAATGGTAAAACATAACTATGACTYTGATCAGTGATAAGAGTATATAAACTATTTAAGAAAAAAAATAAACGAAAAAAATGCTTACAGTGGAAGGGCATTATCCCCGCCGGCTGAGGCTCTTCTTCCCCTCTGAACCCTATAAAACATAGACAGCAAAGAGTCAACAAAAYGAGCGCACCATTTGTCTCTTGTTTTAAACATAAAGTAGGACTTACTTCTCACAATCACAGCACAATTTGTTGATGCCTGCCCATGGACATTTGTTGCCACTGCTGAATAGGTAGCAGAATCATCAAAATCTGCTCTGAAAAGGAGAAGGAGGAAAACAGAAGACTATGTCAATACAAACAAGGCTTATAAGGTCATAATGACTGATATTACACACCACAAGATGCAAGCCCAAGCGAAGTAGAGAGAGTAAACGCTCGGCTGGCATCACACAGGACAAAAAGCTGATAAAAGACATCAGAAAGTTGGTTTTGCTGCAGATTCACCACAGAAACAGGCCAGGCTACATTAACTTGAGCAAAGTGGAAAAGACTTTCTGCAGCTATTGCAAGTAGGCAGCTATCGGCATTTGCTGCTTTTCTCATATCTCTTAGGCAGTCCAGAGAAAATGATACAAAAACAGAGAATCTAATCTAGATTGTTAATTAGGTAAAATGAGTGGGCTTTTTTTTTTCAGTAAGAAAAGTAATAGGAAAAAAATATTCATTAGGTAGGGGCAACACAGTGGAAAATCAAACAAAAAAATAGTTTCTTCTTCAGACAATATAGGGATTGATGGTAGAATATCTCACTATATACCTCCTGGAAGAAGAAGTTACATTATCAGATATAAAGACAGATGTTAAGATTTAAGTGCAAACAATTCTTTAATCTGTGGGTGTTATCTTGGAATAAAATTGAGATAAAGGAAAAGAAATTAACTCTGTATGATTTTTTTTTGGTTACTTAAATTATCCTCTGAATTAACTTGTCTGATATGTTTATATATCAATATAAATAATCACAGACTAGAAAAGGTTAAAAACATTTTAGTCTTTCTTTTGGTAATATATAGATTTGGTTAGAATGAGATATCAACAGTCATGTTGAAGCAACTTAGTGCGACAGAAGAAAAAATTGAAAAGTTAGAATGTTTCTTTTGATGTTTCAAAAAGAACATTTCAATTTATAAGTACACTAAATATTGGAGTATTTATAAATACTACAATAGGAAAAATAAAAACATTTTGAATTAAAAATAAACCTTTTCTTCGGCCCTGTTCACTTTTTTCAACATTCCATTAATCAACTGCTCAGAAGTATATCTGTGTCGCACAAAATCAGGGCTTTTGTTTGGATTTATTTCCTGRTATTCCTGTAAAGTTGAGCAGTCAGTTATTCACAAACTGCTGATAGAAGTGCACACAATTGAATCCTGCTTCTGTGAGGTTCCAGTGCATTTACTAGAGGCTACGCAGGACCTGCCGGTGACGATCTGTAACACTCTGCACCATGCACTCAGCTCCCCCTCAGAGTGAATCTGAGAGGTTATATACCCCAGGTGTGAAAGAAGAATTAATATTTGAAAGTGTTTGATGTAAATTGTGCAACAGGATGCTGATTTTGTGGTATATGACACCAGTGAYGAGTACCTCAAACACCTGCCTTTTAGCCCATGCACATACTCTGGACTCTACACAGAAATGTACCAACTATAATGTGATGCCTAAAACAACTTACTGAAAGGTATGTTAAAATGAGTTTTATCTCTGTACACATACAGGCCTCATAGCTCTTCCTAGAGGCAAAGCTTTAGCCACACATTTCACAGAATAAAACTGTAAAATACCAAGACTATCAATCAACTAATTATCAAAGCCACAGTGATAAATCCCAAGATTAGCACACTTAACCAACCAAGCCTGCAGTTGGGTGTGAAGCCCTTGAGTGTCTTACTATAATCTGGACAAAGTAATTCTGAAAAAAAAGGTAATCGACATACTAGACTAGATTTTTTTTTCTTTCTTTTTTTTTTTTTTTTTTTTTTTTTGGTTTTAAGAAGGATTTTTAAAATGTCAATCACAATCTGTATGAAGCTAATTTGATTATGGACTTACTAAAATGCTATCTGAGTTGATAATAATTACTTAAGTGAGTGTAAGCCATACTCTCCTCCCTTCCCACTGCAATTTTAAGGTGTGATATATAAATATATTATACACTATATATTTTAAAATATACATTACATACTACATATTATATGCTATATACTACTTATTATATTATGCATTATATATAATAAGATAYAGTATATGTTTGTAAACTAAAGCAGTGCCAAGAAATGTGCAGAAATACATAGATACACCAACAGGAACAATCAACAGGAACCCATTTTTGTAAGAATCACGTAGAATTCAGGATTAGAAATGTGTTTTATCCGTAACCACAAGGTGGCGTAGAAATACTCAGGAGCCTCAAAATATGAAGCAAGGAGGAAGCCCAGGCCACTGGATCACTTAGAGCATGAGAAGTTTGGAGGTGGAAGAGCTACAGTTTGGAGGTGAAGAGTTACACCTAGGATGAGCAAGCAAAATAGCAGGCACTTAATGAACTTTTCCAATGGATCCATAGTGAGGCAGTGCCTTTCCATGCCCTTGCTCTCTCGTAAGCAACAGCAAAACACATCTTTTCACAAGGCTTTCCCATTTCTGAGAGTCTCCAAGGCACAGAAAAACAAAGAATAAGATCATAAAAATCATTAGATSAAATAGGATGTTTCTTTAGTAGCTCAAGTCTGAATGCAATTCAACAGAAATTATCCGTAATTGTGAGAATAGCGATGGAGTAAGAACTACTTTCCTCAAGAAGAAGAAGAGAAAGACGAAACTGCTGATCAAACTACTGACCACATTCTTCCAACCTCATTTCATTTTAAGAAGAGAAGCAAAGCACTCWGTGTTGTTATAAACACATGTAACACACTCTAGGCACTTTCTGCTAYTTAAGAAGTTACAGTAAATCCACCCATCTTCTGAAGCTTACTGCTTTGAAAGCATTTTACAATAGATTATTGCTTGCTATGATCTCTGACTTCGCTTTTCAGACTAATATTAAATAGCCTGGTACTCAGCAGGCYACATTCAAACCTCATGATGGGGTTAGTAGGGAACAGGTAGCACATTCAGCAGGTTTAATACACACACTGAAGAAAGCTGGAAAGGATGTCCAGTTACATCAGGTCCTGAGTATCCTCTGGTGTCAGACAATACTCAGACTGAGAATTATCCAGGAAACCATTTGCTTTCCTGTATGCAAAAAAAGCCTCCAGATTTCCTAAACTGCACTGCAAAAAGCATTGATTCAAGACCATTAAAAACTATTTTTAATGTACCCAGGAGATCAGGTGTGGTCTTCTTGCATCGTGATGAAGAATGAATTTTCCRGCCTTTACAAAGGTCAGACAAAATTTGCATAGAGTACGTTTAGATACCATGAAGTATGAGTGCCGAGCAGTATCTGTCCCAAGACACTAATACTTTTTGTGAAACTTAAATTGCCCTGAATCCACATCAGGCTCTGAAGTGCTAATGTTTGTACGGGGAATATTCCCGAGGCAGATACTCCTATTTAAAATGCATGTATTAATTTCTATGCCTGCTGGAGATTAAAACACAGAAGTTAGGAGTGAAATAACTTTTTTTTTTTCCTGAATTGGAATGCAATTCAGCCCATGTCCAGAAAAAGAAGCAGAGTATAGTAAATTATATAGAGTTCAAACCACATCCTTTGAATTCAGATGACAAAATTATCTTCAATGCTATGATTATATGATAGCAAAACATGGAAGTGCTTTCTAGAACTGTCTCATAAGCATGGTCAAAATGTGACTGTCTTATTATTATTTTCATTGTTTTGCTTGTTTGCTTACATTTGTTTTTTACTGAAGATGGGAGCCCCTGAGAGGCGTTGGCAGCCCCAAGATCCCAAAGCACCAAACACAGATCCCAAAAACTGCAGGGGACAGCAGGCAATGACGGATAGGTCAGAAGGTCACAGACCTTTTCATTTCAATGCAGCAAGGTTGGAAGAAGGGAAATAGCTGCTATAGCTGCACATAGCTATAGCAAATAGCTGCTATAGCTGCACATATACAGGCATTGCATGTCTGGGAAGGGCTGGGACCTGCAATTTGTCATCACTCTATCTGCCCCAAAGGCTCTGCCTGCTAGACCAGAGCTGTCTCCAGTCTCAGTCATTTCTCTTACCGCTCTGCCCTGCCTCCTMCTGCTGCAGAAGGAGCAAGACTCCCTCTTTGCATCTCCAGGTCGAATCATTTCAAGCCTTTTATGCCTAATCAAACTAAAATAGTCATGTATTGACTGCACAGGTCATCTGTTAAATAAGAACAGTTAGAAAAGGTGTTTCATCCAGATTTTAAGTCTTTTTCTTAGAAGAAGGCTGGCAGATTTTTGAAGCCGAGGATGTAATTGATGGGTAAGCAGTGCCTACCAGTAGCAAGTATTACACTGCACTCTGCTGGCTTTGCCATGCATTTTTGCTGATGCAACCACAAACCTTTCCCTGCTGCAATTAGAGGCATTTCTTAGCTGGTGACTTAACCGAAATAGGAAAGGAAGAAGGTCCTAATAAAAGGTAAAACACTGACAGAATTTAAGTTGTGCATTTTTGGCACTGTGGACAGGGCTCTGGCAAATCAAATTTCCTTCTCTGCTTATTCCAGCATTTCACTCTCTTCAGCACCCATCAGCTCACTGCAAGTGAAARGACACCCAGAGCGCAGAGCTGTCTCTTCTGTGCCCCTGCACTATATCAGAAAACACAACATGCCCCTTTACAGTTGCTTTGAGACAAGTGAGTTATTTAAACAGTCATTGGATTTTACTATCAGCAAGTGGAATAACTTAGGCATAATGGCTAAAAAAAAAGTTGCTAAACAATTGACTTCAGCAAGGCTTTTGACACTGTCTCCCATAGTATCCTCATACAGAAGCTCAAGGAGAGTGGTCTGGACGAGTGCACAGTGAGGTGRATCAAGAACTGGCTGGATGGCAGAGCTCAGAGGGTGGTGATAAATGGGGCCAAGTCCAGCTGGAGGCCTGTGGCCAGTGGTGCCACCCAGGGGTCAGTACTGAGCCCAGTGCTCTTCAACCTGTTCATCAATGACTTGGACAAGGGCACAGAGTGCTTTCTGAGCAAGTTTGAAGATGACACCAAGCTGGGTGGAGTGGCCGATACTCCAGAGGGCTGTGCTGCCATCCAGAGGGACCTGGRCAGGCTGGAGAGTTGGGCAGAGAGAAACCTCATGAGGTTCAATGAGGACAAGTGCAGGGTCCTGCACCTGGGGAGGAATAACCCCAGGCATCAGTACAGATTAGGGGTCGACCTGTTGGAGAGCAGCTTCGCAGAAAGGGACCTGGGAGTCCTGGTTGACACCAAGTTAACCATGAGTCAGCAGTGTGCCCTCGTGGCCAAGAAGGCCAATGGGATCCTGGCCTGCATCAGGAGGAGTGTTGCCAGCAGGTGGAGGGAGGGGATCCTACCCCTCTCCTCAGCTCTGGTGAGGCCACACCTGGAGTACTGTGTGCAGTTCTGGGCTCCCCAGTATAAGAGGGATGTGGAGCTTCTAGAGAGGATCCAGTGGAGAGTGACAAAGATGATTAAGGGACTGGAACATCTCTTGTACGAGGAGAGACTGTATGAGGAGAGTTGGGTCTGTTTAGCTTGGAGAAGAGAAGGCTGAGAGGGGATATGATTAATATGTATAAGTTCATGAAGGGCAAATGTAGGGAAGAAGGGGCCAASCTTTTCTCAGTGGTGGACCGTGACAGGACAAGGGGAAATGGATATAAGTTTAAACACAGGAAGTTCCATCTCCAGGTGAGGAAGAACTTCTTCACTGTGAGGGTGACAGAGCCCTGGAACAGGCTGCTCAGGGAGATTGTGGAGTCTCCTCTGGAGGTCTTCAAAACCCRCCTGTGCCACATGCTCTAGGTGTCCCTGCTTGAGCAGGGGGGTTGGACTAGATGATCTCTAAAAGTCCCTTCCAACCTTAAACATTCTGTGATTCTGTAATTAGCACCAACTGCATGCTACTGTTAAGTACTTTTTAAGTAGTAAGATAGACACTAATTCAGAACATATCCCTTAGTTGTGTTACAAGGCATCAAGGCATCTTCATCTTGCTGATGACTTGATCAGGGCACCTTTATCTCTGATACAGAAAACCTTTCTTCTACTAGGTGACCTTCCATAATTAAATTAGGTGGGGTAAAGAAACACAAGTTAAACAAACTCTCATTTTTTCAAACCCGTATCAGTCATTTCGACTGTCAGTAGCTTTTTTGAAGGACTCCTTTTAGTCTCTTCTGGATCACTCATCAGAAATGAGAAGAAAATGCAAGATTGACATTGTCACAGTGCAGGCTGAAAGTGTCTCTGCCCTGTGAGAGGTGCAAAAGTTACAAAGAAAGCTTTAAATACTTTTTCTTTACTATCCAAGGGAGACCTTGGGCCCAACTTTCCATCTGAGGAAATCTAAAATAATACTTGAAGAAGCAAAAAAATCAGCAGTAAATGAAAAAAATAGTGTTGAAAGAATGCACATACATGAAAGAATGACAATGTGGTAAATTGAGCACAAGACCCCATAAAAACGTGAAACAGAGAAATGAAAATGATCTGGTTACTCTGTAGGTTCATGGACCCTGGAAGACAGTAAATGGGGAGGATGAAATTTTGTCCAGTTACCACTTTAAGATGACAAGGTGACGTTCTAGATTTAGTGCCTCAAGAATTTTTCCACTGGGATCAAAGAATCCTCATAGGAATAAATATCACACTTGCATCAGAAGGAAAAGTTCACTCCCTAAGCGCCACCGAAGCACCAAGAACGTGGCCAAGAAATTCCAAGGCCGTTTTGAGTGGCTGTGGATCAGATGACACTCAGCTCAGCAGTTTGGTATGAACAGCTGAGAAGAGCACAGAAGTGGATAGGCAAAAAATCCTTACTGTTTTACTTCCAGGAAAAAAATAACTTTACAGATATTGGTGTATATATAGATAGATAGAGATATGTATGGAAAAACAGATATTTGAAGAGTTATCTGATATGTGTTTATATACAAAACATTAATATATATACTGTATTCTTATATATACTTACATACATATTATTTAGCATGTGTATATAAAAAATACACATTGCATTCTTTGCAATTTTTTGCAAAGGTTTGCATTCTTTGTTTTGAAATGCAAAGAATATCTAGTAACAATAATGAAAAGCACTATCAAAATGTTCTTCCACTTCCTGAATGTTGATTTTCTGTCTTTCAAGAAGCACTGTACAGTCCATGCTCAAGTTTTGGAATAAAATAGAGTGGTAGTAAAAAGACATATTAAAGCTTAGAAATTTTAATTTAATAAACTGTATAAAACAATGCTAAATTAATCAATACTCTGGGCCTATGAACCCCTGAGTTTTTTTAAGAGGAGAAAAAACTTGTCAGAGAGCAGCTGGATGTCTTTACTTGGGAAAACAAAGAGAAAAACAAAAAAAGAAATGAAATGACAGACAATGACACACAGAAGGAAAGAAGAACAAAGCAAGSATCTCTGAAGATGGCATTTGGGTTGAACACGACTCAGGACATGAGACTATGTACAGATCTGGGCCTTGTACAGCGTTCCCAGGAAAATGTCAGTGGGTGCTATGGGTGGGTGTGAGAATATGCGTAGGTGCCAATAAATGACACTGTGGTGTGTCTGTATAATACTGGTGGGTCTCAGTATTCATGAAACCTGTTGTGGACAGTGTCTACATGCCTGTGATGACTGTTACAGGAAAAAGCAAAAAATCCTCAAGGGGATATGAGCCATTAGCACCCTTCAGCAATAGCAATAGATGTTCCAAAAGCCGCCCAGAAGCATCCACACTGATTCTCATGTCTGCATAATCCTATTTACTCAGGTCACAAAAGAAGTCTGTGTAGGGTGCACTGGGTGCCCCCACTAAGCATGAACACCAACTAAGGAAGGGGAGTGCAAGCACAGACACTCACTGTCAGGACCTCACCTACATCTCATCTCCAAACTGCCTCTCACATCGAAACAGAGCAGAGAGCTTTCCCTTGCCCTGCCCCAAAGGAGAGGATTGCAGAGCAGACAGTCTGCTTATGATTTTAATCTTCCTGATCTGACTTCGAAAAGAACATAGGTGGGATGGATCAGCTGTTTAAAGTCATACCATAGATGCGGTGAGCAAGGTACCCATGGGATGGGGGGTGGTGCACAGATATCTCTTAGCAATGATTAATCTTAGTATGAGCATGAGGTAAGGATCACTTAAGCAGCAACAGACTGGTTGTTGTAGCTAGCTTCTGAGTGGATATATGAGCCTTTCATCCCCATGCAAACCATGGAAAGGTGGGGAGTTAGRATGGGCTTCCTTTCAGGATGACAGACCAAGCAGTCTTTTCCAAAAGCAGAAGGAATGATGCACTGCTCTAATGCTCAGAGCTCTTGGCAGGTAGAGGTGGGTAGCAGGTGACATGTTTGGTTAGCCAGGTCTTAGCTACAAATGTCCCATCTGTTTGACCACAGCCATTGTTCACCTTCTGGAGAAATAAAATATTTTTCTGTATCCCTTCACTAAATATGAAATAAAGTTATTTCATCATTTTTCTTTAGGTCTTTTGACTTAAAAAGTCTTGTACTAGGTCACATTGCAGTGTTTCAATTGTTCAGGACAGATTAAGATATCTTCAGGGAAGCTGGTGTGCCCAGTCATTTCCTGCACCACAAATTTAACACAGTTTTGTAAAACACAAAGAGTTAAATTAGTACTTTTTAATGTAATCATTTTCAGTTTTGGAAAACAAAAAAATGGAAATCAAAAAGGAAACACAACAGACCTAACATATAACAAAAAAAATCTGAGGATTTTATATTCTTGCCATAATCATCTAAAAATATTCTCACTTCAAATAATTTAATCTGGGGACACATAAATTGTACAGAAAATGTTCCACTTTGACTGTCAAAGAGATAAAATTTTAATAAAAAAGGAACTACTTCTTTTAACTACTTACCTCTATTTTGCTATCTTCTTATAGATTGCTAAAATTAAATAGTAGAAATATGGGKKTTTTTTGTTGATCTAATATCAAATATTCAGTGAAGTTTCTCTGTCCCAGATATGAGCACCAGCAGAGCAAAAGTTAAGTGGATTGAATTTAACAGTTCTCTTGTAGCCATTGTATGACTTTTCAGTTATATGATAATAAATGTTTTGTATAGACTATAAAAAGATGTTACATCCATCMGAATGATCTACCTGTGTATATGCAATACATGTACTCCAAATTTGCTCTCAATTCTGTACTTTCCTGGATCACTTGCAGGGGAAATCAGTTCCTCATTTTTATACCTGACAATCAAAAAAAGAATATGAACTCATTAATAGCAGGTACTACTCAATGTAATAATTAAGTCATTTTTTTACACTCAGATATCACTTATTGTCTTCTGAAAATGTCACTCTCTCTGAAAATACTCTCTACTGGAACAGAGTATTTTCCAGTATGCATGGAACAATGAAGGCAAAGGGGCAAACCAGGGACCTGCTCCCAAACCAGGGAGAGCGACTTAAACCTTTCCAGTCCACTAGCCATGAAACAAGGTGGAAAGCAAACAAACTCTATCTTAGATTGCARTAACTTACTTCAGCTCAAAGAAAGGAAAGCAGCAACAAAACTGCGTCTCAGGTTAGGTGTTCATCTCAGGTCTCTGAAGGAATGCAGGGCAGCCTCAGGGAATTTACACTCAAAAAGGGGATACCTCAACAGGAGCCAACACAACATGAACGTGGGTACTGCCCATGACAGCAATGGTGCTGTKCAAGTTTGCCCAGGCTGAGCAAGAAGCCTGTGAGCACAGTACATTTTGCCATTTGCTATTTCATCACATTACACATCCATACTGATGGACAAAAAACACTGGAGTTGTAATTCCTGGAGTGCTTCCTGAAATATTTGAGTTTGCCTCTCTCACTACACAGGRCCATTCAGCAATGTGTCCTCCCACTCCTTCCACTGCAGTATCAACTGCTATGATCCTGAACATCTGCGGGGATTATAAATGTGCTTTAGCATAGCCATTGTATACATGACACTTATCAGTTATGCCATAACTTTCAAATGAAAAAAGCTTAGCAACATTTTTGAAGGCCTAGGAAAGGCCAGTCCCTTACCATTGTACAACAGGGGTGGGAAATCCTTGTACAGTGAAGCAAAGACTCACAGACATCTTTTCCCAGACAGTGTGAGACCTCAGACGCACCAGAATTTCAGGAGCTCGACTTATACTTTCCTCAACAGCATGTCTTTCCAGGGCCATATTTTCTTCTACCTGTTGAAAATAGAACAGCAATGAAGATGGACAAAGAAAAGAATGTCTAACATCAAAATTTAGTCGTAAACAGGATTAAAAGATGTGAAGTTACTAGTTGTGCTTGAAACATAGACTTAAATTGCGGTTTATCTAATAATTCTGTTTGCATAAGAAAAAAAAAGTTGATTAGCACCATACCATCCTTTGTACAGCAAGTCTGTCCAGTTGTTCTCTAGCACGGTGCCTGGCTGTATGAATCTCTTTCTCCAAAGCAGACAACTCGCTGGCAAACCGGATCCTTTTCTCTTCACTTGCATGTGACTTTTGTTCATGAGTTCTGTAGGACAAGAAAGAAATCAGGCAAGAGTAACCTAAAATTAATCTCTTCACTMATACACAGTGGACAAATAAGGGCTCTGAAATGCTATCAGCAGCATGTAAAATTTGGTTTAGAAATTATTTTTAGTGTCTCTGCCTATCCTATTGAGCACCTGAAATTAATATGAATTTTACTTTCCTTTTGTTTTTTCCCCAGTATGTGTAGATCCATATTTTCAGGCTTGGAAACTGGTATGACATGGCACCCTACAGTCCTAGTCCTAGTCATGAGGATCAAGAACCTGGTTGGCATCCCTCTGGACCCCGATTTTCCTTTCCAGGGAAAGCACGGGGCAGGAGAGTGAAGGCATGTACATACCTCACATCCTGAAATGTTATGCACCTTGCTCACCTTTGCTCACATCATACCCATGGACCTAGCATGTGCGAAGCACTGTATTTATCTCTACCGGCTCTATCAACTGTCCTCACCTGAAAAAGATAAATCATGGAGCTCCCCAACACTTGGGGAATTGTTGCATGCAGACAAGCTCCTCCTGCATAAGAGTGAGTGAAAAGTATTGCCAAAACTGTCAGGAAAAAGAAAAAAAAAGAGTTCTTGAGAACCTGTCGCTTTTAAAAAGAGCTAGTGGGCAACTGTGGGGAGCAGTGAGGAAATGTTGACTGCAGAGATTTTTCAGAATTCCTAAGAAAGTCTCATCCAGGAGGAGCTGGCCACAGAGCTTTCTTACATGACAAAATTTACATTAACTTTACTGAACTGTAATTCAGTCTATTATTTGCTGGGAAGTAGGTTTTTTTTTTTTTTTTTTTTTTTAGTTATTTGCATTGTTTTTTACTAATCTAAATACCAATCTTTATATGCCATGTGTTATTTTACAATAATGGAGGTTAAAACAGTGTCAAAAACAACAGGTTAGGCAAATGAGTTTGATTTTCCTGGAATATCCAGGATATATCTTTCAAAACAAAGCAGCAGAAACATACAAATGTGTATGATGCTCTCTATACGTTCTCTAGAAAGGAGAAAACAAAATCCTTTCTTGTAGCGTATCTTGTCTATGTYTTTGGTGCAGTCACTGAAGAGCATGGTAGACAAGAAACATGTAGATTCACTAACAGGAACATTGTTGTCAGCACATTTAATATAGGACTTCATATCAGGGCTGTAATTGAGATGTGACAGTAAGCCCTCTCGATATAAAGGAAACAAGTCAAAATATTTAAACTGGTCTCAGCCAGAAATGAAAGAATACTGCAGAAAATTTTTTTGAAAAAAAAAAATGTATTGCATGTAGTTTCCAATTTCTTTTGGATTTAAAGCTCTTTTCAAGGATCAAATTGGGCAGTGGGGGAACAACTCTGGGATGAAATACGAGATTGAAAGTGASACTCAATCATTTAGTATTCCAGCCAAAATAGATTAGTGAACAACAGTGCTGGGGAAGCCTCCAGTCTTGTTGACTCTGGAAAGAGCCCTGGCAAAACACTGATACTAAATGGGACCACAGCCACCACATAGATCAGATGGGACCAACAGAGCTTTACCTTTTCCTGGATTCTTGCATTGCTTCATGAGCCAAGGTACGTGCCCTCCTGGCACACAGTCTACATGTTGTTTTTCCCAGGCTGCCAGATGATTCATAATAGGCAGCCTGTCTGGAAGCAGCCCTTCAAATATATATAAAGAAAAGTATTGTTATACCCTAGCAATTGTAGTAAAAAAATGAAAGCACAAAAGTCAAAGAAATTACTTTAAATGAGCCAAATGCCAGGACTGAGCACGGTACATCAAGAAACCTACTCTATTCCTCACTAAGTGCACTTCTACTAGGGTGTTCCACCTCTCGCTTCTCCCTCCTAGGCTAAATGGCYTTTATCAGTCACTAGAGATCATTAGTCATTTTATGTCATTCAGTTCTATTATTAAAGTTACATTCATCCATCATCCAGTCCTTTAGTGCTATGGCACCAATTCAGTGAAGCATGAAGTTACCAGCCCATCTATAAGACAAAGGGCACAGAATCCTCATAACAACTTCTAAATATGCCTACATTTCTAAGCTTCACACAACCTTCCTCATAAATTCTCTTTTTTTCATACAGAAAGCTGGGCAAGCACATGAGCCTCTGAAGATCAATAAAGTAAAGGTCTTGGACCAAAGTACCAGTTAATTCCAGTTTACACCAGTAAAGTGGGATCAGGGAATTGTTCTCCTTAAATACTCAAGGGAGAGGATAGTGACTCTTAAGCAACRCAAAGTCAAAGTTTCAGTCTGCGATACAAAGAATTTTGTGGATAAAAGAATTGTGGATAAAATTCTGAGTTTTCAAATTAGAGGAAATAAAACTTTTCTAATTAAAAAAAGAAAAAAGAAAAGAAGAAATTAAATAACAGAAATCATAATTTGGAATAACCAACTTCAGGACAACAAATAATCTCATGTCATACAGAGAGAATGGATAAAAACATTGTTTCTGTGATTTAAGATAAAATTGCCATTATTTTTGTTATATCAGAATGAGTTTTAACCTTAATCTAAAGGAAAGAATTTCTGACCTGGGAGTAGTAAATAGAAAGGATCTTCAGCTAAAAGATCTGTGTAGGTGAATTGCTACGTAGCTAAAAAGTCTTACTGTGCTGGTGAAAGACTTTTTGGGCAGGGGGAACCTATAAATATCAAACATTTAAAAGCTGATTAGTCCAGATAGAAACCTGTCTGTGGTATATTTTTGAAATAAGTGGTACTTACTTCCTTGCTGCATATTCTTCAAGAACATATCTTGTCTGAATATTGCGATAGGACTGATCGAAGTGTTTGTGTCTCCTCTGGTAAAATGGCACCGCTAGTGCTGACATGGTTCAATTTGTTTCAAACAGCAATTCCTATAAGGAATAAAATTGCATTTACCAATATATATGTGCTGTTTAACACCTCCTTAGAAATTCCCATGGATGGAAATCCCAACACTTTTGAGGTATTTAGGAGCAATTCAGTGCTTTGTTATCCCAATTTTTTATCAGGTACCTTGTAACTTAAGGTTACTGTTTTTGGACTAGTTCATCATAAAAAACAAACAAAYGAATAAACAAACAAAAAAAAAAATGAAAGAGATGGCATTCACCAGCTCTTGCAGCAGCTAGCTGAAGATCTAAAGATTTTGTTCAAAGCTCCTGTCAGAGCTCTTGATTAGATTAAACAAATCTGGCCCTTTTAATCTTTCCAATCTTTCCTCATGAGTTATTTCTTCTAGAACTCCAATAATTCTGATTGTCCTCCTATGAACATTCTTCAAAACATGGCATTTGGCTAGAAGGTGCTCAGAAACTTTCAGGGGGCTCCTGAGGTATGTGAGTGATTCTGTGGATGGCATGTTTCCCAGGGAGACGCAGTTAAGCAAATTCCCCAGCATGGAGTTAAAATAAGCCAGAGGCACTACCCACCTCTGCTCATTAGAAATGCATTATTATTATTATTATTATTATTATTATTTTATTAGAAATACTTTTTGCGCAAGTGGAGATGTGACCAACCATGTCCTGGCTGGGTGCCCACTTGTAGATGTATAGTCTGCTTTTCCAAGTCTAATGTGCCATTTCGAGCGGATATGGGATTCTTTACTTCTGGGCCACTTGCAACCAAGTGGTTGAGAAGAATTGCAGTGGGCAATCAGCAAGTGGCATGCTCTCCATGAAACAGAAGGAAGCAGCTTTTGTGACAAATCCAGCAAATAAAATCCCCCCAATAAAATCTATTTTCCTCCTGAAATGTAAGGGAAGTGCTCCAGCTAGTGTATTCCCAGGTGGGATGCAGTCTGGCAGCTCCACTCTAGCAGAGATTTGTCACTGGGCAGTGTACACCAAGCAAGGTCACCTGAAGGGGGAAAGGGGAGGATGGCCATCTTCATCTGTCATCATGGGCCTGTCACCCACTGCAGGACCCGCCTATGAGTAAAAGCATTAGAATGACACCCACCACTTGCACTTCAAAGTCCCATAAGCAGGCAGCTTCATGACACATAAAATGCAAAACTCAAATGGATTTGAACAGATATCTTATAAACTGATTTAGATAAAATGTAATCTCCTCTTACTTAATATCAAAGGCAGTGTTACTGACAGATCTTAATCCATGTTCTATTTCATATCATATAGGTAGAGACTTGCACACTGGGAAACAAAATAAAAAAAAGATGAGTTGTTAAATCACAAACAGTTTTAATAAAATGAGCTTTGGTTAAAAATTCGTAAAAATCAGTTACTACTTCTTTGTGAAAATTTGTCAACTTTCAAATTGCAAAGAAGTTTTTGGCTTCATTTCACTTCTTATTGTAATAAAAGTACAGTCAATAAATTTATTTCAGTAAAAGATTGTTGAAAATACTTTTTAAAAAGTGTTTATTGCTTATTTTGGAAGAAATGTTTTCTACTACAGTATGGACTTATAATTACTATCTTATGATTTGAAAAATACTATTTTGAGAATGGGAAATAATTAGCAATAAAAATGTTGAAGAATTACATTTTCATTACTTTTTCATGAATTTTTCAATTGTGACTTTTTAATGTACTAAGATATACTATATCTGCAAAAGAAATCATTTCTTATGTTCAATTGTGGCAATTTATTCTACAAAAAATAGAGCTCGATTTCTTATTTTATGTTTTTCTTCCTAGAAATATGATATACTGCTTAAGAAATCTATTCTATGGAAGACTACAGCTCTTAGTCCGATAACTCATTTTATGTGTTTATTTGGGAATTTTGCCTAAGCACTGTAAGATTAGACCAGATTAATTTTAAAAATATATGTGTTTTATAGACTATAAAATTGAACCTTAATGCATGAAAAAAATAGCTGCAAATAACAGTATTTTCAGTATAAAACATTAATGATGCGGTAATAAACATTACCAATTAAGTACTGTAATAAATTCTAGCTGTGTGCCAGGTAGTTTCAAGCATTCAAAAACTGACTCGCGCTACCCAAATCATGCCATTCCCATGTCAACTAGTTTTACTTTTCCAAGAAAAAAAATCTAAATTAAATAGAGCAGATACTCTATTTAGTTATAAAAAAAAAAAAAAAATCATGACCCTCAGATTACTTTATAACATAATTTATGTAATTTATAATATATAATTTACCACCTGCTAACTACATCTTCTGCATATCCTCTTGTTAGTTTTTCCATTCTCTCATGGGAGATACAAAGACTACAAGCCACAAGCTCAGGAATGAGAGCTTCATGCAAATGCCACGTACCAAAAGACAAATAGAACAGGTTGACAACAATAGTATTGACTAGTATATCAAAGAAACATATCCCAACAGGTCTAGTGAAATAAGAAAGCTAACCTGCTCCACACCAGCCTGACACAGCACCTTGCAGAGGTACAAGCTTCGCTAGATGTCCTCACACAACACTGAACTGTTGCAGATCTATTAACTCGTCATATGGACTGCAACACTGTCACATCTACATGAATATGACCCATGAACATAGACCCATCAACACAGACCCATGAGCAGCTTCAGCATCTCCTAGTTTTTGTACCTCTGCATGATTGTACCTCTGCATGATGTTACACTATGAATGCAAACATCAAAGGCAGGTTTTCTTTCTGTTCTCCAACTCTGTGACTATTGTATATACGACATTTCACTTCCCCCTTAGTTCATAACTTAACCAGACAGTTAATGGTGTAATATTCCCTTTTCTATTTATAATTAGCCCTTTCACTTAAGTGGAGGTGCAAAGGGCAAACCCATAGGTTCCTTATAAGACTGACTCAGCTGTTGAGAGCTACTCATGTTTATGAGTGGCCTATTAAATAATTCTGTGAATTCATCCACATGCAATTTATATGTTGCTATGTATAACTCTAACTCAGATCAGATGCATATGGGCTGTAGAATAATACCCATATGTTTGGATGGATCAAAGTCTGGAGGTTTTTTTGTTGCTTTTTTTTTTTTCATTTTTGGGATGAGAGATAACATCTTTGCCATTTCCAATTTAGCATTCTCCTCTAAATATAAACTTTACCTTTTAATTAATGCATCTTTCTCAGTTAATCGGTTACCAGGATTTCTCAAAACTTGGGCTCAGCTATTTTGCATGCTTTGCCCGAACTCCTAGAGAACAGAAGCGCACAGCCATCCCTCTTATCCTCCCTCCACACAAGCAATTAACAAACCTTGTTAGCAGCCAGGCTCATTTAGCCTTCTGCTAACACAGAGGGGAGCTGCCTGGCAACCGTTCCAAATGTAATAATCATCATCAGTTAATTACAAMGATGCTTGCAGAGTAATTGTATTCAATACTTAAAAGTGCTGCAAAGACGAGCAGCTGAAGAGCAAAATCACGGTTCCACTGTAAAAACTGCTCCAGCAAATTCTACACAGAACTTTAGGTATCTGAATTTAGGATGAAAGAAGTTTCTGTTGTCTTTGTAGGAAATTTGTTGAGTGATTTCCCAGTTTTCCACTGAAGTACGTGTGCATGAGATATTCAAACTATACATGAATATTTAGTCCACATACTGTTAGCAGATTTAGATAACATGATAAGCAGTTGACAGCTTAGGCCAACAGAAGCTCCTGACTTAGGTGAATCGATATTTTATTACTAGCAGATGGTTAGAGAACTAATTATACTGGAAAGTCTATTAGTGTAACTAACTCAACAGCAAGATCCAAGCAATGCTTTGAAATATACATAAAAATAAAAATCTGTTTCACAGCAGGAAATGGAAAAGTCAACAAAAAAATCACACAAACACCCTAGGAGAAAGATAAACTAACTGTGATAACAACCTTAGCACGGCAGAAGTTTTATTCACCAAATTCTACCRTTATGTGAATCCAAGTGTTACAGAGAACATTCTGGTGGATATTTTGGTGTGTCAGTAGCAACCTTTGAACATCATGTATTTAAGTCCATTTAGCTTCCCTGGATTTTAGGGTAAAGATCTAGAGTTATAGAACAGGATGTTCTTAAAAATAACTACTCTCACACCTTGTCCTCAGTCTTTTGGTGAACACAGAAACACTCTGCTCTCACATTATTTTTTCCTTATGTTTTCCATGTCTATAAATACTGCGGACATCACTATGTTAATCTATATGCCACACAAAGAAACTCAAAAGGCTCTCAACCCAAACAAAAAACTGTCAAACAAAAATCCCCTAATTTTAAGGATTAATGATGTAAAGCACTGATAAACTAGACTGCTCAAGACAGTTTATACAAGGATATATTTCCACATGTTTAATAGCATGTATGTAACAGTTGATACTTTTTCATGAGTAAAAGACAGAGTTCCCGGGCTAGGAGATGCATAGTTTCACACCACAGTAATACTGATCTGAATAGAAAGTAATAATCTAGGACCACGTGACAAGAGGCACATTCTTGAGCAGAGGAGACAAGGTCTGATATAAACGTTAGTTTGAWAAGTGAGTTAATTTAAGATTTAAAGGACAGGCGGTAAATTCTAGCATGATAATTCACAGAGCCTCAGAGAGGAGGGAGACAATCACATAAATTGGCAGACGGGATTGACAAATGCCATGGGAAAGAGAGTATGGTTGTGCTCCCCATAGATAGAGAACTTGCATTCCTCAACACGGGGGGTTCCTGTCATGAGTGATACAGCATGTACTTTCTCTGCCTCCCCGTCCATGTAATATACAACTTCTTTGCTCATTTCTGTCCTTGTCTGTCTGCAGAAGTGCCAAAAGCAACTGGAAGGTTCTGGCTTGCTCTCACATAGCCTAGTCTCCCGTTGGCTGAAAGATCAGTACATCTTGCTCCTAGGTACATATCCTTATTCTTAGCATGYCTTGCTCCTC